GGGGGGGGGGCGGCCCAAAAAAAATCTTGCACCAGGGCCCTTTGTTCCTTAGCTCCGCCACTGGTGCTTTCCAAATGCGCGCACACCTGATTTTGGACCATAAGCATGCACGCTGTTACGTGGGTCTGTTTTCATGGCAACGTGATGCCACACTTAGCGGGAGACGGAGGTAGTGGCACAGAGAGGTGAGATGTGCTGCAGCCTGGGTACACTTCCCACATTGAATCAGTGATTGCTATGAAGTTGGAGGCAGAAGTGTGGAAAAGAGGTGGGGACGGAGGACATGGTGGGGACAAAGCTGCAGTGACAGAGCTACGGGAATGAGATCCTGTGCATGCACAGGTATTTATGAACGAGCAGCAGCTCCTACAAGAAGCTGTCAGTCAATGGGGGAGGATCCTAACAATATTGTCGGAATCTCTTTACAGCACAGGGATTTGCCCTGCCCACACTATGTTATAGCAAATCCTAAGCTTATTTCGGATTTTTGATTTCATGAGTACCTTGCAAAATCTACTCCTGTATCATTAGGAATGATACAAATGCCATACACAGTGTACCCCATAGTTATCTTTAAGAAAAAAAATGTTTTTTCTTACACACTGTATTCTTTTCAGCTATAGTAATAAAGCTTTTACAGAATATTTAGTCAATTTATTATAAAAATGTCCAGATGTCGTGTTTATTATGAAAGCACTGAATCATAACATTCTATGGAAAGAATCAATTGTATACGAACTTATTGAAAAACGTAGTGTAGAGCGCAATGGCTCAGTGGCCACCTCAGAAATTCTGAAGGGTTGCTCTGTGCAAAGTCTGCCAATTACATAGCACTCTTTGTTATAAGTAAAAAATCCAACCATTTAGATATAAGTTGCCACAACTGTATTGTACATAGATACATTTTACATTGGAATGTAATATGCCACTAGAACAAGTATCTCATTTGGAGGAATTTCTGTCTGTTTCTCTTCTAGAGAGAATTCAGAATTGTGGATTTTCCCTTACTTTCAGTTCAGTGTAAATCTTTCCAGTGGGGACAGAGAAAGCAATTTAAACAAACAAAAAAAATGACAGTTCTAACCCTTAATGGCTCTGTAGAAAAACTTTAAAAAATTTTTTTGACTTTAGATGCAATTTATTAAGGATAAGAAAAGATCGATGTCCATCAAGCTGAACCTTGTACTTGTACCTTGTACTCGGGACAAAAACAATATATGCCACATCTTTATACTGACCATGAATATGTTAACATATACATATATATATATATATAATCTAGATTGGTAGACATTAGTGTTGAACCAAACCTGTCAACTCCTTACAGTACTAAGTGCACACCTTTCATACCATGTAAGTGCACTTGTCAAGACATTTTGATAAAACTGAACAACTTGAGTAATAGCTTAATTGCAATAAGTCTTTAGATTCAAACACGTATTAACACTCAAAAGTGTGAATGTCTGTGCATATTTAGTGTGGTAAAAGCAAATTTCACTCAGAACCGATCTCTCAGTCGTGGGTGGACATTTACAGGGTGAACCATCCAACTGCTTGTTAAATTGTTTGGTATGCCACATTGACTTGTTGGCATTCCAGAAGGATTACCTCTGCTTTGGTAATTATGATCATATTCTCCTCCTAACTAAGCCCCTGGGTTTAACAATGGGGGTCTACTACTTGACTTGACAAAGCTGACCTAAATGTTATGGGTAGTAAGCGGAAATAGAAGCAGAAAATGCAGTGCGGGCTTGATGGATACTTTCTACCTTCCTATGCCAGCTGTCCTGGGCTGCTACCCTTCTACCCCAGCTGACTGCCTAGCCTTGGTATCAAAGTCATAAGATCAGACATCATACTCAAACAATGCACTCCTAGTCCAGGGGCAAAGAAGCTGAAAGAGATTGTTTGAGCGCTATGGGTAAATACACAAGAAAGAAAAAGCTTTTTTTTCTCAAAATAAAATAAATTAGATTGGGGTCCTGCTGTATATAAGCCAAGCTTATTGTACAGGAAAAAAATCAATTCCACAGCCAAGCAACGCGCTTCAACTGTATGTGGTCTCTAAGACTGTCCATAAAAATTGCACTGTTCCGTAACACCACGCACAGCTTTAAGGCACCCCCCAAGCATTTTATTTAAAGGATTATTGTGTATTTTTTATATTTTCCTCAAAGTCACATAAATGTGCCCTTTCCCTTTGTATACTAGTTTTTACATTGATGGAAAGGTGTCGCTTGGCAGCGCCCAGTTCCCCCGTGCTGTTTTTTTTATTTGCCTATTAGCCCCCGAAATGGCCACAATGTACTAACAGGCTTACCAGGTGATTACATACTACTGTTTACATCAGTATTCGCTCCTCTTCCTTTTACAATGGAGAGGAAATAGTAGTACTCATAATTGGGAAATGAATGAATGGATCAGCAGCAGCAGCTGAACCACTCCTTTACTTTTAAAGACTTGGGATCTTTTTTTTAGCCTTCCACCCGTCCTCGCTACCTCCTCTCCTACACTTCTAAGCACCTGCCTTTCTCTAGTTGTGACCTGTATATTAACCCTTCCTGCACATCTTCTCATTAACCCTTTTAGTTCCATCCTCCCACTTCATGTGACCTATACATTAACCTTTTCACCTCCTGATCCCTCTGTGCATGTACTGTATGTAGTGCACCATTACTTCATGTTTTATCCCCCTGAATATCAGCATGTTTCTTCATTGTGGTAAAAAATTGTGGGAAAACATTAGATCACTCTGGAGTGTCTATCTTCTAAAAAGAAAAATGGCATTTTGGGGGTTTGGGGGTAATGTCCTAGCATTTTTATTTTAGCACGGAAACATTTTTTTTCCAACATTGTATTTTCCTTGCAATACTAAAAAAATAAAAAATAAAAAAAGCTAATTAAATACCACCAAGAGAAAGCTCTATCTGTCTCAAAACTATGATACAAAATTCGTTTGGCTATAGGGTTTCATGACTGAGTAATTGTCAGCCAAACTATCACAGAACTGAAAAATGAAAAATGGCCCAGCTGGTACTCAAGTGGTTAAAGGAGCCCACTGAGAAGGGATTGCTTGTAGTCAATAAATCTTGAATATAAGTGTCACCTACTACACAGGATGCATTATATATCGACATAGAATAAGTAGACTTGTATAGTACGCTATTCAGTACACAGGTACTTAAATAATACATCAGCGACCCACTTCTAGGAGCTCAGCTAAGCATCTTACCCATTGTTGTCCAAGTAGAGTTGGGCTCTGTATCTCACTCACCCAGCCGTTCTATTTATACAGCCTATATATTGGGAGGGGATTTAAATGGTCTATCAGAACAGCTGGTAACCAGAGATAAATTATGTTTAATAACTAGGTGTGAAAGCGACTACTGCCTGTTTGAGGAAAGCCAGTATCTATCTAGTTTACACAAATATGCTGCATGATTGAAATAGGAACATTGCTCTGGATATTGCATATTAGGCCAGCACAATGATTCAGCTGGAAGACTGCACACACACAGAAAGAGATGCAATGTGTAATATACAGAGCATTGAGAACAGTAAGAAATGATTATGTATCCTACAGTGACAGGCATAGCGTGAAAAAGCTGAGTAGAGCAGCCGAGTAACAGATGGTTTGAAAGGAACATATATCTGCAACTTGTGTTTTATGAAAAAAAGAGCAAATTGATAAAAATAATGTGTGGCAAAAAATACAGAACACAACAAGCTACAATACCATACAGAGCTTAGGGTGTGCCTTAGATGTGAAAGCAAGCTATAAACATTGACTTAGGAGTCTATTTATAAATGTTTTCACCCAAGATTCATAGAACTTATTAAATTAGAAAAAGGTGTGAATCTTGGATGCAAACATCTATAAATAGACCCCTTAGCATAATTTATGTGTGTGTGTGCGTGCGTGCGTGTGTGTGTATATACTATATTGCCAAAAGTATTGGGACGCCTGCCTTTACATGCACATGAACTGTTATCCCAGTCTTAGTCCTTAGGGTTCACTATTAAGTTGGCCCACCCTTTGCAGCTATAACAGCTTCAACTCTTCTGGGAAGGCGTCCACAAGGTCTAGGAGTGTGTCTATGGGAATGTTTGACCATTCTTCCAGAAGTGCATTTGTGAGGTCAGGTACAGATGTTGGACGAGAAGGC